GGGCAGAATATTGTATGCATAATAAATAAATATTTAAAAAAAAAAGTGTCCTGTAGTTTGATGATTGAGTAGTTCATTTCCAGTTAAATTTTATAGACACTTAGTGTCCTGTTAACTATAAAAACAGAATCAACTAAATAATGCTATTTCATAAGAAATATCAGTTGTGCTCTTTATAGAAGCTCCACCCTTTATAACTAGTAAGATTTCCAGCAGCTAAAGAAAATAAGAATGATGGATTGGGAGAGATGACTCGGCGGTTAAGAGCACTAGCTGTTGTTCTAGAGGACACAGGTTCAATTCCCAGCACCCACATGGTGACTCACAGTTGTCTATAACTGCAGTTCCAGGAGATCCAGTGTCCTCATCTGGCCTCCAAGCACTGCTAATACATGGTACATAGTATAAATTCACACAAATGTTCATACACATTGAGAAAAAAAAATCAGCAAAATTTTTTTAAAAAGTAATTTATAAATGCTGTGACTTCAGCCTGAAGCCATCTTTCAGATACTGACATGTGGGCCATATCATGCTGCTGTAGGGCTCGGAAAGGCACGGGCAAGAGCTGGGTTCTGGATGTGAATTTTCATCTGTCACTTACTGATTCCTTGACAACCTCACCCTGTTTGAGTTTTATCCCCAGTAGAATGGCCTGGGAATACTTTTTAATTTAAATTTGAGTTGTTTGGTAGATATGATGCCACTTGGATATGTCTTAACTGAAAATCTCTTATTTTGGCCATTTATTACGTATGTGACACTGTATAAATTAATAATTCTCCGCTTTTGAGACTGCTCCTTTCCAAAGCTGGGGTTGTTCTGTAATGGCCTTCACACAGGGTCTGGCCAGTGCAGAGCAGTCATGGTAATTAAGGGTAGCGTTAGTATCCTTGGAGCTCACAGAGGTTTTTGTGTCTCTACCATCAGTGGCACTGCTGTATTTCTTTTTTTTTTATTGTATTATTTATTTTATTATTATTATTATTTTTTTTTACAAAAGTTTATTACAATGTACAACAGGCTCCAGGATAACACTTCATTTAACTATAGGTGGCAATGATATTATAGTAGGGGATCCAGATGTTTAACAGGCTCCCGGATAACACTTCATTCTAGCTGTAGATGGCAAAGTTGTTATGGCAGGGAATCCAGATGTTTAAATAGGATTGGAAGAGGGTCACCATCTCAGATATGAGGAACAGCTTACTTTTTGCCAGATTTCTTAATTCCACCTGTGGCCAGGGGTCCCTTCCCCACGGCCTTGGCTTGCTCCTCGAGTTTCTTCTGCTCCTCTTTTTGTTTCTGCTTGAAAGCCTTATCTTCCTCATCCATTTCCTTGGCCTGCTTCTTGGGCTGTTTCAGGGGCTTCTTTTTGCCACCTTCCCGGCCCGACATGGCGCCTCCAGACACCCCCTTCTCCAGACCCTCTGAGGCTTATTTTTGAATCAAGGTAGATACAAATTCCCTGTGAACTGTGACTGTCAGCAAATCACTCCTGGGAAAGCATGCTACCAAGTTGGTGTATAAATTAAGATGGAATAGGAAGCACATAAAATTATGTGTGGCAAATTTGTAGAGGCTTTCTCCAGCACCTGAAGGCTCAGGTGTAGAAGAGGGTGTGGGAAGTATGACCTCATCTCAAATGAAAGACAATGACAAAAAATGTGAGGATGAGGCCGCCATTGCTTCTGGTGGTACTCTGCTAATGAGACTGGACACAGCATGAGAGGACTGCCCCAGCCCCAGTTGGATCAGGGAGTTTGCTGTGCGATTGTGTCTCCTAGGAATGTCAGAAGCTACAGTCTCACCCACGTGACTGCCTAAACATGAGCTGAACAAGGACAGCCACAGTAGGGATGCTAACATGGATGAGGGAAAGCTCAGGAGGCCTCAGTCCTATTCAGAGAACTACAGGTAACTAAGGAATGCTGAGTGCTGGAGAAATAGTCTTCCCAGGGAAGAGCACATCCATTGGTTATTCAGTACAAAGGGTCAGCCCTGAAACATACATACGAGTTACATTGTACAGACTGTCTTAGCTAGGGTGACTGGTGGTGTGATAGAACACCGTGACCACAGAAATCTTGGGAGGAAAGGGATTATTTGTCTTATACTTCCACAGCACTGTTTGTCACTGAAGGAAGTCAGGACAGGAACTCACACGGGGCAGGATTCTGGAGGCAGGAGCTGATTTGGAGGCCATGGAGGAGTGCTGCTTACTGGCTTTCTCTCCATGGCTTGCTTAGCCTGTGTTTTTTTTTTTTTTTGTTTTTTTTTTTTTATAGAATCTAGGACCACCAGCCCAGGGATGACACCATTCACAGTGGTCTGGGCCCTCCACATCAATCATTAAGATAAAAACAGCTAGATCTTATGGAGGCATTTTCTTAATTCAGGTTCCCTCCTTTTAGATAATTCTAGCTTGTGTCAAGTTGACATAAGACTAGCCAGAACACAGACTGAGCAGGTTATATATAGGAATATATATGTATGTATGTAACAAAAATTAATAAAAAAAAAAGAGTCCATAAATCTGAAATTGGGGTGGTGATGATATGGGAAACTTTGGAGGAAGGAAAGAAAAGGGGAAAACGATTAATTATAATGTCAGAAATAAAAGACATAAACCTAGGGTCATGTGAGCATAGTTGACACCTAGTTTAGCCTGCAGGACAAATTTGCTAATTGATAAAGGAGATTAGGGTAGAACCAGGGGTTAGTTATTTGC